GACCCTGGATAGAGCCCACAACTGAGGCACGTGCCTGGTGGGGAACAGAGCCCTCAACATTTAGGGCACGGGGGGAGGGGGAGCTCTTCAACCACCTGCGCCACACTTGCCAGGGCTACGCTGTTTTTAAAATAAGGAAAATTTTATTTCAGAAGGATAGGCTGACAAGGAATGTGGCAGATTTCCAAAATTAACTCCGAAAGACAGATCACCTGGGCCTGAGAGCTGTGCCTCACCTTTGTTCCCAGATCTCTCCTTTCAAAAATGTCACTTTCTGCTTACTCAATGCTACTGTCATTATACTATTTTGAGCATTAAAATTTGTGTTCTGGAGCTGAATGGGAATTATTGCTTCTATCTTCGGGCTTATTAGAAATAATTTAAAATTCATTCAATGGCAATAAAAATCACCTTTACATTATGGTTGAATATTAAAATTTGTAATGTAATTTTTGTCTTTTATTAGTATTTCAGCATTCGCAGATATATTTCAAGACTATTTGTAAGTACCTTCTAAAGAGAGAACTTTAAATATGACTTTTTCTTTAATTCTTTATTGCTTAGAGTGAAGTTAAAATACAATTAATTATGTGATAATCTGGCTCAAAATTTCAGACTCTGCTTTATATAGGTAAACTTTTAAAAAAGCACATATAACCTTTGAAACAATTTTTCTTTTTTACTCCCTAAATGATTTAGTTAGTACTTGGACTAAGGTAAAACCAGATGATAAATGGTAAGTGGAGAGACAAATCAGTTCATCAGAAAAGAAACTTTCCTCCTCTGATTTTCCAGACAGAACCGTGAGATTGTAAAGGGACAGGGAATGGGAAGCAGATAGTATCTGGGAAAAAATGGGTCCCGATATTAAAGGAACGAATCTGTTGATTCATCCTGATCCTCTATAATTTACTTCGCACTCTGCTCTCTAAATAGTCCTCAATTCTATCATTTCAAAGTTGGATCAGGATAGAAGGAGAGGAGAGGCAGCAAAACGTGCCCGAGTCATGCACCTGCTGGCACCAGGTGCTTTTCAGCACCAGGGGAGGCGAGGGAAGGCGCCTGCCCACGAGAAGCAGTGTCTCCTGAGTAAGGCTGGCTGGAGAGTGGCTGTAGCTGGCGGGCAGCAGAACAGAGCGAAGCGAGGGGCCGATGTGCGAAAGCAAACAAAAACATCCAGAACACGGGTCGGAATCAAAGGGCAAATGCCTGCACCCGATTCGGAGGGTGCAGAGTCAGCCTGAGAAGAGCCCTAACAACAGTCACTGGAGGAAGGGTGCTCCTGGGCGGGTGCCTGGAAGAGCATCTCTGTCATCAGCTGTAACGTGAGCTCTGTGACACAGTTTCAGGGCGTGAGGAGGGGTAGGGCAGGAACAGGGGGAAATTGCATATAAAAGATGGAAAGAGTTGCATTAATTCTTAATAACAAAGCTAGTTAAATTACTCCAGCTCCAGTGGAAGAAATTGAAATGAGTGCTGGCCACGCAGCTGCACAGGGTCTTTACGTAGGCTCAATACATTTATAGTTATCTAAGTCAGTTTGAACTGCCACAGCAAACTACCAAAGACTGGGTGGCTTAAACAACAGAAATTAATTTTCCCACATTGTTTGAGGCCAGAAGTCCAAGATTAAGGTGACAGCATTGTTCTTGTGAGAACTCTCTCCCTGGCTTGTAGATGGCCACCTTCTTGCCATGTCCTCACATGATGGAGAGAATGGGAGACCAAGCAAATGCCCTGGTGTCTCTTCTTATAAGGGCCCTAATCCCACCCATTAGGAGAGCCCAGCCCTGATGACCCACCCCATCTAAACATAATTCTCTCCCAGTGACCCAGCTCCAAGTACCATAACACTGGAGGTTAGGACTTCAACATGAATTTGGGGGAACACAGTTCAGTCCATAGCAACTGTCAGCTTTGATTATCTCAGCGTCACCGGGAGAGTGACATATTGTATTTTATTCCCCTTTGTCAGATGATATCTGATTTTGGTTTGGCACTGAAGTTATTCTCGCAGTACAAACAGATTCTCTAAATTCCTTCCTACTGAATAGTTGTTCTACCTTAATTCTAACTACATTGTGCTCTAGAATAGACCCTTCTCTTTCGTCATTTTATAAATAGGAAGGGTCCTGATTTCATTTTTTTCCTGTTTCTTTTGGCAAACAAAATGAATTTAATTTGCTGACATTTTGAATGCAACCTTAGCCTTGGTCTTGCTCATTCCAAAGGCTGCCTTCTGACCTATGTGGAAAGAGGGATGTTGGCTCCAGGGTTGTTCACAAGGCTGCTGTTTCCCTGAGTATCATGTGACTCCCAGCTCTACCACTGACCCCCTCACTGCCTAGGGATCTGGGCAACGGCCTCCCCTCAGGGTGGTGCTGTCACCTAAGTGTGGGCTCAGTAGCTGCTTGAATTCTGCCTGTCCTGTTATTTCTCCCCATGCAGCTACCTGAGTCTAAGTTGGAATGTCTGAGTTTAGAGAAGGGTCAAAGAAAACAAAAGTGAAGTATAATTTTCAAGGGAGACAAGTGAAACTCTTATTCTAAGTATGATTGTTCCTATAACAAAGTTCTCCATCACATGGACACACATCAGTTCCTAGCTTTAAGTTAATCCTCCACTCACAGAGCACCTCCCTGTGCAGACTCCTTTCCTCTGTGGTTACCCCCAACCCCATACCATCCAATTCACAGAACCCAATAGTCAAAGACGAATGTTTTTCCAGAGCGTAAGTCCCTTAGTTTAGAATGATACCCTGAGATAGATAGCAGGAAACAAGCTTCAGAAGAGCAGTCTGGGTGGGCTTTATTCTAAGTCCTGACTCTTTCAGAGTCCCTCTGGAACTAGGTCAACCTCCTTCAAGGATGTATAAGTTTACTTTTGGGCTCAGATTTTTGTACCTAATGTGATGACTTATTTAAATTGTGAGAATTAACATATACAATAGATTCCCCAAACCAAAAATATTTAAACCAGCACATCCCTCCTAAAGAATTCTCTGGGTATTTATAACTCCATTATGTCTCTAGCCTTTTTGCTTTTAGCACCAAAAGACTCCACTGCTATACCCCCTGGAAAATGATATCTAATTTTTACTAATATGAGTTAAAGANTTTTAGCACCAAAAGACTCCACTGCTATACCCCCTGGAAAATGATATCTAATTTTTACTAATATGAGTTAAATGATATCTAATTTTTACTAATATGAGTTAAAGTCTAGATACATTAAGAACCTCCTGTTCCAAATGCTGTTTGTAGTGAGTAAAGTCAATATTGTGGGCACAAATGGATCAGAATATTTAAAAGCAGGTATGACCAGGAAAAGTGAGACACACAGCCACTTCTAGAATATTCTATTGGTTCCCTTTCTCTGAAGGCATGATTGATGTGTGAAGCAGCTGCCTAACTAATCTCTGCTTCCCCTTTAGTAAGTTTTATAAAAGTTCCGGTGTCTTAAGCACGCCGGTTGATAAAAACAGAGGCTATTTCAGGTGTTTCCTGATTTGTGCCTTGAGATCCCCCCCTTCCCTTAAGGCTGCAAACTACAGAGAAGCCTGTTATTTTCTCACAGTTTTACACCTAGAAGTTCTACTGTCAACTTACATTGTATGTTACCATTTACCACCACCAACTCTGTTCTGCCAGTTGCATAATAATAATAATGGCTGTAATCATACATCAACACAATGAGATAACCAGGCTCCAGTACCTCCCCTGCGTGCTAAACAATTACTTTCAGTCACAGATGTCGCCAGCCTGTTCCAGCCCACCGTATGGTGTCAGGACTTTGTGTCCCATGGCAAGAACAAGGAGGGTGGGGGCTCCCAGCAGGCTGAGGGAAGCCCCGGTCCCCATATCTGTGAGTTTCCAGGAGTTATTCCTGAAGCTTATACCTCCATCCTCTGGATTATTTTCTGGCAGAACTCTTCCTTGGGGTTCTAACGTGTCCGGGCAACGTATCTAATAAATTCATTCCAAGATAGGCTTTGGGATATCATAAGAGATCTAATGAAGAAAAGCAGACACACACACCCTCATCAACAGTACCTGGAGATGCGGAGATTAACCTGTCTAGACTCCTAAGATTTTCACACCAATTTCCCCTCAAGTATCAGACCCATCTCTGTATAAGTTATTTGTCTGAGCCAAGGCTGAGATCAAGCCCAGCAGGCTGGGACGCTTGCACCCCCAATGAAAGAAGGTGCGACTGCCTGCGGGAGCCACATCATGAAAGGGACCATTTGTGTTAACAGAAACTCTACCACCCCCCCCCACCCC